CAGGTGTCAGGTGGATTCTCTCTTAAATTTGTCACTCTACTTTTCCATGCTTATTTCAGGCTAAAACCTCAAGGGGCTCTTTTGCCATGCAGACATCCCTAACGACCAGTCTTAACAGATCTCTGAGGGTAAACAAAACTTAACCCTGCAGACAATGATGGCCCCTCATTAGAGAAAGTTTCCTGGAACTTTTGGTTTATGATTAACAGAGGCCTCTGAAACCTGATGTAAATCCCCAAAAGAGCTTTCTTCCTTAACCACTAAACCTATCTGAACAGAAGATGAGCTTATTTTTAAGGGGATGGAATGCCTTCAAAACATCCTTCAGTTTATATTTACATCTCAGCTTGTAGTAGCTAATATCTCACTAGTGGAGCAGGTTCTTGAAGAACTTTCTGACATAAAAAGCCTTCTGAAAATAGTTGTAATAATACAAATTCACCTGACAACAACTTGTGCCTGAGTACATTAGCATTTGTAGCACCTGTTTTGGACAGCTCCAGCTGTGGGAACTCAGCAGGAGTCCATACATGCAGCTCAGGGGAATGCTGAAGAAGAGATCTGGGAAAAAATAGAGGATAACACAATCAAGTGAGGTAAGAGTCAGTATATAGTCATAGATTTGTACATAAAGAGCTTTCCCCCTAGTTCTGCTACAGAATAGAAATATAAACTGGAGTATGCCTACCTGGATTTGGTAGAGTTGAGCAGAACTCATGCTAAGTTCTGCTCTGAGCCCCACTTGTGGCTGGATTGTTGCCCCTTTGATGGCACTCCACAAATGCTGCATAAACTTGTTAACAATGGCTTTACAGAGTTATGGGGAATGGGACTTTTGAGAAAACCTTTTCATCTTTCTGATATTTGGTACATCTCCAAAAGAAGCCATAATCAGGGTCCTGAAGATGTAAAGAAAGTGTTTTTGTAGTGGTGAACAAAGGTGAGGTGTACATGGGTAGTGCTGTAATAGTGTGGAGCCATTTCCTTTTCACAGACCTGATCCTGTTATGCATCACTCATTTTTGCTCTGCTGATTCATTTGGAATTTCAACCTCAGTATACTGACTGAGATCTATGATCACTTGAACTTTTTCTATAAAAATAGTTCTTACTAGAAGCATCATTGCAACTGCTCCCCGTGTACATTTGATACCTGTTCAGAACTTGCAAGAGGAAGTTCCTGAAATTTTGGGCATTTCTATCAGGTAAATTCTCTGCCTGTTTTTATTTTATTTGGTTTACATTGATTTATGCATGTCACCCAATTCAATAACTTTTTGTTTTATACTAAAGCATGACCTAAATTATAATTCTGGAAGGAAGGGAGGTAAGAACTGCTGTGACAGAGAGAAATCATCTCAGGCCAAAGGCAGGGTCATGGAATGTTGGTGCCTTTTATTTTCCTGTTTTAATTTCTTTTTCTACTTCTATGACAGACAAGCCAAAAAAACCCCTGGTTATCATCAAGGTAAAAGCTTTTGACTTATTAACACTCTAAACACAGAAATGGAATCACCGTGTAGCTGTGAGCAGTGAGTTCTGCAGTTTATCTGATGTGCAACGACTTGCATGGGTGCTGTTTCCTCTGCTTCCCATTAGTCAGAGACACTTCTGTGGAACACCAGACATTTGAAGTTTCACCGCTCACACCTTTTATTCTGTTCACAGCTGTCCTGCTCTTTGAAGTTCTCTGAGCAAGAAACCACTAATCCCAGTTTACCTGTTAAGAATCAGGTTCAAAACTGTGTGAAAAATTAGCACTGCTTGCAGGCAGAATAATTGTTTTTAAAGTGGAGGAAGCATCTTCTTCAAGGAACACCGGGTGACATGGTCTCCATTGCTGACAGACACAGATGATCTGTTAGATCTGTTATACTTCCATGAAGAAAGTGGGATGTCAGGTTTGTGGACACCTATTCTGAAAGCATATGTGAGGATTTTTATGTCTCTTATTTTCTCACTGCTGATAGATTTGTGGGAAAGATGCTAGCTTGACTTTGCAAGATTTTTTTCTTTCTCTTTATTTTGTTCTTTGCATTTTTTCTGTACATTTTTATGTACTTCTTTGCATTTTTTCTCCAAACTGGAGCATGCACTAGTATTTGCTAATTCTTTCAATTCTTTAAAATTTCTGTGAGTCAGACATAATAATGTAGCAAAACAGAGGCAAGAAGCTTTGTATTGATTGTTGCCTAATAGTGTGCAGCCTTTGTTTTGATTTGATAGAACAATTTTGAGGTAAGTTTGTTTTTCAAACAGATGTTATTGAGAAGGATGAACAAATAGATTAATGTGTAACTCTCTGCAGTTTATTAAGGTAATCAGAAATGAACATTGCAATGATTATATTGCAGGAATATAACAATAAATCAAAAGATGAATTATGGCACTCCCTCCCCAATCAAATCCTCCCCAAGGCCAGAGCCTCACCACACTGCCTCCACCTTTGCTCCCAACTGCAAGAATCCATTTTCCTCCCAGGAACACACCACCAAGGGTTAGCAAAGAAAAGAAGCTCCACTGAGGGTTATTCTCTGAGCAAAAGTCAGGAGGGATCCTAGCTCAGCTAAGAGCCTTATTCTGGACAGTGCACTTGTAGGAAAGACAGTACACCCTGTTATATGGGCACACACGCACACATATGTCCTCTGCTGCTTTTTTTTTGTTCAGACCCACATCAGCTAAACAGCATTGCAGCAGCCAGTGAGCTGAGGCAATGTGCTACTTACAGTTCACTGTAGGCAAATGGCAAAAATCAAAGCCTGCTGTGAGTAGTTACAGAGATTTTTCTGCTTTAATAGATACCCTTCTGCTACTGACTAATGCTTGTGATGAATGAATTAGCCATCATTTTTCTGCAACCACTGTAGGAACAAAATGTGAACCTGTGAAAGAGGAAATAAGAATAGAAAGCCACTCACATCTAACAGCAAGAAACTGGAGGGGGGTGTTAACACTGAGTGTTGATAGCAAAGACATCTATAAAACTCTGTCAGTATCATTTCTTCAGAGCTTTCTTAGGCTGGATGAGGGTGCCAGAGTACTGATGAATTTTTAGATATTCTTACAGTTTCAGATATAGCTCTGGAGAGATCTCTCATGTAGAAGTGGGTTATGAAGCAAATCTTATTCCCCTCCACTTCTGCATGATCTGAAGCATGTAGCTCTGTTTCAGGAAAGAGAGACTGCACCTTCTGCACAGCCTTAACTTTGATGGGAGTAATTTCCAGCTTTCTTTGACTAAACAAGACTAACAAGTGAAGAAAAAGAAAAACTTACATGAGCTACAGAGTTGCCAGGGCAGCATGAACAATCCGATATCAGGGGATAGCAGGTTTATGGGGACACCAAATATGGTGATGGTGAGGGTAAGATCCAGAAATATGAATAATTCTGCATAAAATCATAACTTTTTTTTTTTCCAACTTGTTTTGCTGTTCTTGCTTGGTCTTCTCACTTTGAATCTCTCCCTGTGCCAAAGGTGCCCCATTTAGGAAACAGTCAGCCAGGCAAGACCTGCCAGATGTACAGAATGCTAGTCCTGGCTTGTGTACAATCTGCTGGCAAGGGGGATAGAAAGCATTTCCTTCTGGGCCTCTCCTGCCACTGTGGCCTGATCACTGTCTCCAGCTGATGTTGTGTGTCGCTGCACCTTCCCACTGGAGCAGATAATTCCTGCAACTCAATTCCTACACTGGGAGGGCTCCTCCAAACCCTCATAAGTTAAACCCCATTGTGTCAATTTTTCACAGTCTCTTTTTCCCTCTCCCTTGCCCATGCTCCTGGCAGCAAAGGCTGTACAGATTGGTAACTACTCTGTGGTTAACTTATTTTGTATCTGTCCTTTTCTGTGTAATGAGACGCTGAGAGCCAGCTTTGGGTCCAAGACCAGTCTGCCAGCCTTTAAGCATCTGCAGATTTAGCTGAAAGGAACTAAGTGCATTTGAGAGATTTTCAAGTTAGCTGCTGAGAGACTGACATCCCCTAGAGGTGGTGCCAATAGTCACAATTAGTTGCTAAAATTTGTTACAATTAATATGGTCACAAATTAATAATTGAATTTGACATAAGATTTTTTTAAAGGGGAAAATTTCTTGTTTAATAAAATAGCAGTTATAGACCCCTCAGTGATCTCAAACCAAAGTCACCTATACAAGAAGGAATATAAAAAGAGGGTAATGGTTTGAGTTGCTTCTCTCACGTTTCCTTGTTCCCCTCACCATAACTCCACAATTTATTTGCAGTCATTCTCCTGTAATGTGAGAAAGCAACAAGTAGAACAAATATATTATCTAAGGTTACCCAGCTCCTCCCAAGTGCCATGCTCAGATAAGTCCCAGGGGCTTGTGGATTCCAGCAGTACAAATGGGAAAGCCCAAACATTGTCCCCACTGCACTGACTGGCCTGTCCATTGACTGGGTGTTAAGTGCTTCTGGAGAATAAACAATAATCACCTTTCCACTGAGATTTTAGATCATGCACCACCCCAGCTGAACCGTTTTGAAGGTATCTCTAACTACTTCCCTAAAAAAAACTCCAATGCCTTTTTCAGACCTTCTGCTAAAATGATTACAAAACTGGTGAAAAGAGTTTGTCAGGTCACCATGAATGCCAGATCTGCTCATCAGAAGAGTTTTAAGAGCTATAATGCTGACAACTGTGCTGCTTGAGGGATGAGGCTGATGAGTGTGATCAGAGCACTGCTAGACAGGAAGATATCCTGGCATTAGGTTCTGTGTAATGCAGCTTCAAGCATCTGAAGTTATTTGCTCCTTTCCTACAGCATTTATGATCAAGGCTCTTGCAAAGTGGTTTAACTCTCAAGCAGATTATTTATTGCTTCTTATGCAAATTTTCTAATTAAAAAAACAAGTAAAAATGGTGTTCTAAAATATCAATTGTGAAATGCAACATTCTTCATCCTTCCTGTGTCTTTTACCAATGGACCAAAATCTATCACTTATGAACACTTTTCATGAAACCAACATATGCTGTTAAAGATCAATAGGAAGACAATCATTTTAATAGGTAAAGGTCTGCATGGAACAAGAGATCATGGCAGGGATTTTATATAAGAGTGCGTACAATGATAAACCATATATACAAACTCCAGGATAATCTCAGCAGCAGTCACCAACCCATCAATCAAGCAGTGGTGAGGACAAGTTCTGCCCATTTTGTACAAAGGAAACTTCTCTTTGTTTAACCTACATTAGTCATTCAGGGAAAAATAATCCTTGTATTTCATAGTATAGTTGAACAAATAAAAATCCATTTCATACAATTTCTTTATCTTCTCAATCTGTTCTGAGGTCAGTTGTCTGAGGTATTCTAAGGTGATATCACCATCAGTTCGTTTCTCTGAGCTGTATCTCTTCAAGCTGGGGTATTGCAGGCTCTCTGGTGCACCAATGGCCTTCAGAACATGCTCAGAGTCCAAGCCAAGAGTTTCATACTTACCCACAATATCATAGTGAATGTTGCAAGGATCACAGAGCAGAAACATTGGTTTCCAGTGAATGTCAAGAGTATGTGGTGGTTTTGCTATAATGAAGTTGACAAATTCCTGGAAACTCACTTTTTCAGAAGAATTTTTATTTTTCCTGAACATTGCCCTGATCTCATTAGCAATAGTGGTACTGTAGAATGGTTCAGAGTGCAGGAGTTTGTCTCTGTAAGCTGAAACCAGCCGTTCCAGGGGATGTCTGGTGAACATCACTTTGGTGTAATTGCTTAGAAATTCCCTTTGTAAGGCAGGAGGGTAGGACAGCAGCCTTTTGATTAGTTGGGTATGGTGGATGTTGTCATGCTCAATTTCAGAAGCTTCTGCATTCAAGTCTGATTGAAGAAGAAAAATGGTTCTCTTCCAGTTGGAGCAGCCTACCTTAGGCACCTCACAGTAGATAAATTTATGTTTGTGCTCCACAAAGAGCTGGTTTGCAACATGAGAATCCAATTTGCTTCTTGGTTTATTGAGGTTATTCCTCAGGCAGACAGAAGCCAGTGTGTTTTTCCGACCGTTTTGAATTGCCAGCCAATTTTCAGTAGGATTGGAAAAAGCATCTGTAACCAAGGAAGAATTGAAACCATTTCAGTGAAATAGGGTTGTATAAATCTCTTTATCTGTGACAATCATAGCATTCTATCACACTGCATACAAAATCTAATGAAGATGCTAAATTTTTTTTTTACTGTAACTGGACTAGACCATGGCAAACATGCAATAAACTATCCTCCCTAGTGAAACACTTATGAAAATGAAAACTTTCAGTATGTTAGCAGTAGTAGTCTAAGCAAGTTTGGTGTTCCAATATCATGCTTTTGTAGTGCTCTCCTCTCATATATTTCTGAGATAACTTCCATAGTGACAAGTAACTAGGCCTTGAATATTTTCACAATATTGTTTTTATCTTGGGCTCTATAGTTACTTTCTAACACATTTGGAAAAGGTGTGTCTCTTTCTATAAAACATTAAATATTTTTGGTAATTTCTTTACTCACCTGTTAGGTTTTTTTGTCTCCTACAGAAAAACCCAAAAAGAAATATTCCAAATAAAAAATTTGGGAGAAGGAAAACTAACACCTTCTGGTTCATGTTATTCTCACAGGAAGGAAAATGACGTGGTGTCTAAAGTGGAAATCTGTCTTTCTGTCAACAAGAAAAGATAATTCAGGTTAGATTTTGTATGACTGATATAAAAAGATAACATGTATATCTCCTACAGAATTTAGGGCAGCAAAAAGACTTTTCAAGCTGTATAAAAATAGATTTTGCTAATAACAAAAAATTCTCTTATGGAAAAGACTCATCACAATTATATTGTTATACCAAATAGATAAATAATATGTCCATTTTGAAGTCTTTCAAAATTCCACCTTTTTTCAGAACAATGAACTGCTTATGAGCAAATACTCCTCCCTTGTCTTTGAAAGCTGTTGGGGAGCAATAACTTCATTTAGAATTACAAGGTTGTATTTTTTAATCGTCTTTGGAATCTGGGAACACAAAGATCTCTATAAATTGTAACAGGTGTATCCACAAAGACAAGGACACATTCAGGATGAATTTATTTCCTTTATTGCCCTGAAGCTTTGTACTTTGGACAAATAGATAATTGCAGGAGAAACTCTTCCCTATTCCTGCAGAGAATCCACACCACTAATTTGAATTCTCCCTTTTCCCTCTCCAAAGACCCTGCATGGTATATATGTTTGTTGCCATTGCTGCTGCAGCAGAAGAGGCCCAAAATGGCTCAGTATGATAGGAAACGCAGAAAGTGGTAAACAACAGAAAAGGAGCTGTTCCATGTTCCCAGACAGAAGGAAAGAAGGCAGTCCAACACAACATATATTCTCTCTTGTGCTCAATAATTTTCTCCCAGCACTTCATGGAGAGAGACCTATCTAAATCCTCTGTGCAATCTTACTCTGTTTCCCCCAGCAGAGAGCTCTTCATCAGCACGCTTTTATTGGAATTTGCAAAATTAGGTGCAAAACAATAACTACTGGCAAACATATCATTCTCTTTCTGTTCCATAAAGTCTGCACAATCAAAAAAGCCAAACAGCACTGTCTTCCTTTCCTATTTCTTAAGTTTTCACCCTGAACCTGCTGGCAATAAACACATCATTGTCTAGATTCCTTTAGGACATAATTTCTTTTTTTTCCCAATTTTTCTTATTTTGTTTTATTTTTGCAAGATACAATAGGAGCACTTCTGGTTTCTGGTGTGTTCTGAGACAGCAGTGAAGGCAGTACCAGTTACACTGCTGAAACTGTACTTGAGCCCAAGGGTTCCTCCTTTCACGGCTGATATGTGATTTTGATATCACACACTTTTACCAGAATATCTGCAGACTCATAGAGTTAGCAGCATTACTGACAATTAAATCTCTCTTAGAGTAGGTATGACCTAGGGAATGGAGAGCGACACTGTTCACTATCTCTGTATTAAAAATTTACTCATATTTACAATAAAATATTACAATAGTAATTCAAATTAATGCAGCACTCTTAGATGCAGCAGCATTTAGCCTATTTTTTTTTTCATTTTCTTGGCTGTATAAGATCATTGTAAGGGCTACAGGAAAGGTCATGGGAAGATTGCCTTTAACCTTTCCTTCACTGTACATCAATTCTCATTTCACAATGTGATCCTTGAGTCCTAATGCACCAGAGGCCATTTTCAAGGCCAGCTAAAGTCAGTCAGGTTGTTCATTGATCTCATAAGGGCCAAGATTGAGTGTTCCCTTTTTCTTCTCTTTCAGAAGGAGTTTGAAGACACAACTTTACACTGCATAGCAATTAAAATCAATATGAGTCTAAACAATTCTGTACAAGGACTCCATGTTAGAGTATGCCTAGGAGAAAGATGTTGGGTTTCATTCACTTTAAATGCTATCACTTCAGAAAAGAAATGTTATTATATCTGTCTCAGGAATCAGAAAATGAACTAGATTAATTTTACCCTATTATGATACTTGTATCATGCATATTTAACAATTACACTACCACTGGAGACTATAAGGTCTGCTATAAGACATATTTCATATGGAAACATGTCAATGACTCACCACAGGGAAATAGAAGAGACTTGCTTCCTTGGGGGAAAGAAGCTGTTTAGGAGCTAGTTACACACAGTAGACAACTCCTCTTCAAAGACTTATGCATAATTGTGGAAACAAAAGAATCTTTAATTAACTTCATGAGAACAATCAGACCATAAGAAGGGATAGAACAAGCTCCAAGCTGACAGGCGAAATCTTTCTGGACTCCTTAGAAAACTTCACAGAGTGGACTGGCAGTAAGAGTTAACATTGCCCTCAAGTAGGGAGGTCAACATGACATGAAGCTACCTTAAGGTGAAGTCCAAAGCCTTCTTCGGAAGATGTTTTCAGATGTGGGACCCCAGTATGGAGTTCTGTGTAATGCAAAGTTTCCACTGATGAAAATCACCTAAGGGAAACCTGAGGAAGAGGAGGAAAGAAAATTCTGAGAGCCATTTTGTCAAAGAGGGACAAGTGACCTGGAAATTGAAAAGGAGGAAAAAAATCCAAAATGGAAAGCACCTTTGTCCATAGGTGTCAGTGTCAGTAAATCAGATGAACTTTTCCTTATATTTTTTATGGCTTTCCTATGTAATTGTGCTTGCTGTTTAAGATGTAATGAGTTAATACTTCTCTTTGCATTTTCTCTCATCCTACCTTGAATTAAGTGTGATTTTAGGTAACTCCAAGGCATTCATCAGTAAAGGAATGACTAGTCTATTAACACAACAGGTTCATGCTGAATAGACTATTTCTGCTGTAACTAAAGGGCAGCAGTATGGGCTCTCCCAGGCAAGAAGGAAAGACAGCATCATAAGACTTATGAAACAAAAAAAGCAGAAACCTCTTCTACTGAAAAGTAACAAAACAGGAGACAGGGAGACAGGGATCTAAATATCTTTTTGAATCTTGCATATTTCCAGAAAAGAAGAACCTAAAAATTAAATATAAGGCATTAATCTGCACTGTTCTTGTTGTACATAGTGGAGGGAACCAGAGAGGGAGTTGGATCTTTTTAAATTTTTTTTAATTAATTAACCATAAAATCTTCCAGATAAGAGCCTTACACTGCACTGTGGTTTTTACCTTGTTCTTCAGATCACATAGTTATAAATCAACTATACAGAGCTATGACTTGATATTTTTAATATCTGCATGTCTTACTGGATTCTGCAAATTACATAAAAAATCATTTTTGGACTCTTTTTTGGTCATTACTAAAGAGTAAGCCAGGCCAGGGAGCAAGAATTATCCCCACAGAATTCCTTCTTGCAGGAGTCTTTCAGAAGGATTGCTATCAGGAGATTTTTTGAGGCCTGTCTGTTAATTAGTGTTTAATTTCTTCAGTGTGTATCCAGCTGTCTTGATGTCTTTCTAGCTCCTAAGCCAGAATATGCTGTCATTTCAAATGCTTTATACACTTCTAAATCCACTACATCGGTGCTATTGCCTAAATCAACCAAAGCCAAGCAAAAACAGTAAGTCAGTCTAGTGACATCTGTTTCCTGTAACATAATCCAAAGTTTCTATATGAGAACAGCCAGAGCAATTGTTCAAGCAAAGAGTGGTAACAAATGGGGAATAGATTACTGGAGAAAGCAATGCCAATCATCTCATGTGCATACAAAATGGCAAAAAGGCTTGAAGTCCTCATAAAATTAAAAATATTTACTGAATTCAAGCCTTCTTTGCACTGCTGATAATTCCACCAAGGCCCTCTACAATTCCATTTCAAAGATTCTTTTCTTCCTGATAAACACACTGCAAGTAACGAAGCTAAAAACATTGTATCCTGTTGTTCATATCTTTGTTGTCAAGTTTGCTGACCATAAAATGTTCTTCCCATCCTGTTTACTTCAAGAAATTTCTGACAATTTTATGCTTTTCATTACTCTCAACATCTCCCTTTTCTACATGGTACACTGGGTATGGAGGTGGCTGGCAACCTACTTGCGCATCCTGTGCATGGCAGGTGAGACTCACTGTATCTCTGAGACTGTTCTCTATCTCTGTATTGCACTTTTCCAGGGGTGTCAAAAAATTGTCATATGATGACGTCATTGGAATATTTTTATTCTGTTAAATTGCTTTTTATTGGTTCATTTGTCTCATTCTTGCTTTACATTTTGTGATACTAGACCTTCTGCAACCTTCCTCTCTATGTCTGTTAGTGGTCTGTACTTTAACTGAGCCTGTAAGCTACACCACAACCAGTCACACTTGTCCAACCACCAGCTTTTGGATTTATAATGAGTTCCTTTCCCCCTGACCAAAACAAGGTCTGATAGAAAATCTCTAGTATTCTTTCAAATGGGAAATACTCAGTCAAATATGTTTTAATAATAGTCACACAAGTACATGACCCAACACATCCACACTCAGATTGAAGTTCTTCCCCCTGCCATGCAGATTTATTTCCAGAACAGGCACCAAAGGAATAGGTTACATTGCCTTGCATAGGTAGCACTTGTACACTGCTCTGTCCTTGAACTGCTGAAAAAATGATTCCTAACATATCATTCCCTAATCCTTCTCCTGGAGCTTCTGAACCACTGCAATTGCAAAATCTTCAGTATTCAAAGAAATTTAGCAAAAAAAACCCTCTAAAATATTTTTATACTTTCATAAACAATAAGAAGTACTATAGCTGGAAATGTTGAATAATGTTAAGTCTTTTTGTGCGGCACCTATTACCCAAGTACAGAAACACATGTACACACACATGTGTACATATATATACACACACATGAATAGTTCCAAAACACATTAATATCAGTTACGCTGGCATATTATTTGCTCCAAGTAAACTAACTAAGCAAGCTGATAATGATTTAAAGTATTCTGATAATAAACGTACAATGGTGCGTCTCAAGCTAGTTTTTCACAGATATACCTTGGTCAAAGCTGAGCATGTAGGGCAATCCTCTGCACCCATTTGATAAGTGGAACTTTCCAGACTAAAAGAATGAAATTACAACAATACTTATTTGTGTTCCTGATACATTTGAAGCCAGAAGAAAAAGAAAGTACCAGTACAGCAGCTCAGTGGAAGGTAGGGAAAAATCTCTGAAAACAGATAACATTTTCAGTTGCTGAACCCCATTCTGTACTTAAGCCCTGTTAATCCCTTCAAAAAGACATCTGCAAATACATACATACTGATACGTACATGGGTACATAGAAGGTGAGGAGGGGATGAAGGGTAGAAAGCCCCCAAGAACAGCCTGAACAGGAAAACCAAGCTCTGGGTGCAGTTCTGCATGTGCTGTTCTATCAGAGTGAATTGCAAGAACAAGACCCTTGTTTGACCAAATCTGCAGCACCCTTGCTTCTGTACAGTTTGTGATGGGTGGACAGGAGGGAGAAGGAGCCCAGAAAGTGGAGCTTTTGCAGCCAGGCTGGCCTGTCCAAGAAGTGGAAAATCAGTAATGGGTTAGGAAACTCACACAAGTTACAGACAGCCAAGGGCTAGAAAAAGTGTCTGATCTGGGTCATTTTGCCAATAAGAGACAGTATTTGACATCATCTCATTTGCAGCAAGGCTTGAATGGTGTCAGGTGAGAATGGGTAGAAGCTCAGTGGGGAGACACCGTATGGGCCAGGCTGGGAGCTCCTGAGGAAAAGGCTGACAAGGGTGTCCTACAGACCAACACAGCACTGAGGTGGGCATGAAGCAACGATTTCCATTACAAGCACAATCTAAAACTCTTGTTCTGTGGTCACCTCAGCCCTCCATTACTGCATCAGACTTCCTTCTGGTCTCAGCAACTGTAGTGAGACCTTCCTTGATGCCATCATTAATCTGCTTATTATTCTCATTATACCACTTCTTATGCCTGCCTTTTAGCTTTTCCTTTTCTACTTAATTCCATGTCATCTCCTTGTCTTACCTTCCAAGCTTTTTTGTTATCTATAATTTCTCATGCAGTATTAAAAGCTCAGCTTTACTTTCTGATATATCATATTGGTAGCCCCTTTTGTCATTAGCCCTTGATAACAAAGAAATAGTTTCTGCTTTCTCCTCTGCTGCCCCTGCTTTTGGATTAAATTTATGAAGCACCTACAGAACCATTACATTTTTCACCTAAAATCACTCCTAAAAGTTTTCCCTTTCAGAAATGCCAGCACCAGTTATGATGCCAGTGTGCTAAAAGTGTTACCAACCAGTCCAAAGGAGCAAATTAAAGGAAGAGCCAGTTTGGGGATGAAAAGAACCAAAGTGAAGAGAAAAAAAAGAGTTCTTGGGGAAAGGCAGCAGCAAGTCCTACAGAAAAGCTCCCAGAGAGAGGCAGGAAACAGAAACCCAAGGAAAAGTGGTAGAGCTGGGGCCCAAGGGAAATAGAAAGTTTCTGTAGCCTGCTCTAAGTTGTGGAAAAGGGAGGTTGAGAACTGGACTGGAAAAGACACAAAGTACAATTCAGTGAAGAAGAAAAACAAATTCAAAGAAATTAGTATAGAAAGCAGTGTGCTAATTTTCCAATAAATTACCACAGATGTTTAAAAAGGAATGAGACTATATGCACTGCAGTCATTCTTGCACTGGAATCCAGCCCTTAGTATGTGATCAAAATTGTATTTCTTTTCCTTCCTGGAACTGCAGCCAGAAAGGCCACAGACTTTTGATTTTCTGAGAGATATGTTCAGTGAGAAGAGCTGGCTCATGGGTGGGCCCAGCGTGGCTGGAACCTGGGAAGCTGGATGCCAGCTCTGCTGCAGCATCACTGGGGCAGGGACTGGTGGCCTCAGGAGGCTGACATGGGGTCCTGGGCTGTGGGCAGGGGGAACAGCCCCAGGGGACTGGGCAGTGCCCTGTTACTGCTTTTGGTGCCCGACATCTGCTAATGGGCTGTGGGGCCTTTTTATCTAAACACTTAATTCAAAATTCCATGCACTTGTCAACTGCCATTTAAATCCTGCAAAATCAATCACAGGAGAACAAACTTCACTGCTTTCTTTTATGGAATCTGGATAAGCCTGAAAAACTTGGAAAGAAGGAAAAAGGAGAAAAAAGAAAGCATAGAAGTTTAGAACAATGCACTCTGGCCAGGGTGGCAGTGAATGATCTCTCACCAAGCTTGTTTCATAGCAGATGGGCCTCACAACCCCTCTGCTTTGTCTCATGTATAACTAACTCTCTGCCTTTGCGAATGTCTTAGTGTCTCCTCCCATGTTTCTCTTCTCAGTTAATGTCAGTAATAGAAATGTTTTCCTTGCCATTCAGGTCTACCTGACTTGTCTCAGCCCTAGATCCTCTTTGTCCCCTCCTGCTTTTCACCTCCCTGCGCAAGCTTGATTCATTTATCCCTGCCATTGCACACCAAATAGTACAGTCAAAACTGCTTGTAAAAGTCCTGGTTACTTAGAACACCACCCCCAGGCAAACTCCTGTTTGCTGTTCACCTTGTTATACCTTTGTGTCCCCACCCCTAGTACCCCTTAACCATAATTGATGACAGCCATGACCTCTCTTTCCCTCTTTACACACCAGTGAATACAAAGCATTTCTGCTTAAATGGTTTTCCTTTTTGCTCCTATCTCTTCCAGCTTTTCCTGTCATTTTAGTCAAGATTTTGAACTTTATTTCCAGGATCCAAAACTAATTTTGTCTGAATCCATACCTCTACTCTCATTACCCGCCATTTCTTTCTTTTTTATACTCCTTCAAAGACTCCCTTAGAGGAATCATGTGCAAGTCCTATCACCAGTGACTCGGTGTCTGCTCTTTTACAGAAATAACCCCTTTGCCTGAAACATCCTGACACTTACTGACAAAATGTGTGTATACCTTTTTCTCTCTTCCTACATGAATTTAGGCTTATTCTTTCTTTCCCTTCTGCTCTCCTGTGCGTTGCAGGGCAAGCTGTTCAGCAGAAATGTTATGTTTAAAGTCTGTTTCTATGAAACATGTTTTTATAGCATACTGTGACACATGCAGTATCAAAAATTAAGACGTTTGGAGACAGTAGGATTAAACTGATAATTTAAATCATAGAGACTATAAAATGAAGTGTCTGCCGGCTTTTGGCAGAACAGTCTTGAAACTAAAGACTTGACATTTCAGAGCATTTGATGTTACACTACACTCTAAGTTCAAAATAGTCTTGTGGATTCAGTTACAGATAGAAATGCTTTAAAAATCTGCAAATCTGGTTTCCAGACTCTGCTCAAGTATCCAGAAAATGGCGAATGGTCAGTCAATGAGTATCTGAAAAGGTGGGTACCCCACACCCCATGGGATTATCATAGCAGACAAAGAATGCAAGCTCTCCTCCTAAAAACTCTTGCCTGATTCACTGCACACCTTCCTTCAGGTGACAGGTAGTGACAGGTAGTGGGGATCCTACTGGACAGCCCTTGAGTGTCTCAAGAACATGTTCATCCTCTGAACCAAACATATGAAGTTTGTGAAGTATTTTGTTTCTTTAAAAACTAAGTGTTGAAAAGTTACTCAAAAGAAGTATTCATGAAGTATCACAACATGCACAAAAGTCATTTTCAGGGTTGAATCAGCTCTCCTGACCAGTCTAATGATACTTACTCTAATGGAATAACCAATAGTGGCAGCAGATTGCTATCTTCTGAACAAACCCAGCATCAACAGTGACAAGTCCCAAACTCACCAGTTTTACCTGCTGGCAGCAACAAGAGTGAGACTTGGTCATGTGGGATACCATTCCTGGCACTGAAGGAAAACGGTCCATATAGCACAGCTTGTCCCTGCTTCCCCTGCTCCCAGCATTAGCATGGCCTGTCCAGACCCCTCCTCTCCTGGTACCCCCACCTCTTTGCACTCCACTGTCCAGCAGCACTCCCACACTCCTGCTCAACACATACTTATTTGCATGGGCAACAGAGCTTTTCCCTTAGCCCCCAGCTCAGGTGTGACCCCATCTTTCCCAGTCCCTTCTTCTACTCCTCAGGCAAAACTTTAACCCAGTCTCCAGCAAATTCTCACCTCCAAAAGCCTTCCTCATATCGTCCCCAGGCAGCTCGCCCAGCAAATCCTGTTTTCCAGCTTCCCAAACACCCATCAGATCTCACCCTGATTCTGCTTTCAGCCTTCCTCATGCACAAGCCAGCTCGTTGCTGTCTCCCCCTGCCAGACTCCTCCCTTTGTCTCCTCAGTCAGCCTCACAGCCCCCCCCTCCAACAACCACACTTCCGAGCCAGCTCATCAGAACTGTCTCTCCTTCTACTTCCAAGATTCCCACACAGCCCTACTGCTTCTCACTCTCTGTTCTGTTCTCAGCTAGTTCCAGGCTCTACACTGCAGCTTCTACAGTTATTTTAGTATCTCCCAAACTAAACTGATACATTTTCCTTTTCTTTCCCTCCTACATCAATTTTCACACTAGTCATCAAGGCACATTTTCCTGCTGATTTTGTTCCTTGAATCTATTTTGCCAGCAATCCCCAACAATTTCTCCCTCGAAATCTTGCTCATGCTTGTTCTTTAAAATTAATTGTTTATTCTCCTGTGTAGAAGAGGTTCCACTGAGAATGTACAAGAGGAAACTCTTAACCTCATTTTTGAAATGCTTATTTCAAAATCTGCAATGTACCTGAACTTCTTAGAGAAAAGGTTGTTGGAATAATTTAAGAGAAGAAAAAAGAGCAGAGATTTCCTGTATAAAAATCAATAAATTATTTTTGTTCAAAGGGCTTAAAAAATATCCTCAGGCAGATATCTGGCCTGAGGATAAAAGTTCTGCGGAAATGTTTGAAATTTGACAAAAACCTATGTAGATGCAAACTGTATTGAACTTAGAAGAATCAAGATGCATACCACCCTTAATAAAGTCAGAAAGTGAATGAAAGCCATTGTCATTTCATTTCAGCCACCAGAATCCCTGTAACATCAACTTCTTAACTGAGGAAAGCCATAGCAATGAATAGTAGTCTGCCAAAAAAATCCTCTGTAGATTCATTTCATCACTGTGTGATTTGAAAAGCTAAACAATGTCTCAGTTTATGCCTCAAAATATTTGATGTCAGTTTCTAAATATATAAACAAATAAAAAACCCAACCAACTCTGAAAAGAAATCTCTTTTTTGCAGAGATTTGCCTACACTTACAAAATCATGGTGACAGGAAAAGCTACTAACAATCCAATTTTACTCACTATTCAGACAGCCTCAGTGGAGATTTCCCATGCCTCTGAGTGATGGTAAACAAACAGCAAAGATTCCGACAAAGAAATGTCAGTCCAGAGAAACATGTCATTTTAATTTTATGCCTAGGGATGGAAAGAAAATAGGGGAAAGATTTTGTGTTCTCCTTACCTGATCTCTAAGGCTGGGCAAAGTGCTTCTGTATCCACACAGATGCTTTCACAGGAGAGCATTTGAAAGACTTTGTACACTTAATATTTGTCTCTGTTTTGATTAAAAGCCCCACTAAAAGTTGCCAGTGTTTCCCTGAGGATGTTCAGGTGAGCATCTCTTTTGCCCTTTCCAAAGCACTGTGCTGTGCCTGTCTCTAGGTATAAGGAGCAGCATTTAACCACTCCCCGCGCAGGGTCTGCAGCAGCTGGTAGAGGCTGCCAAGAGCTTCAAGAGCAGCCTGCCAAGAGGCTGCCTGCTAAGCAACCAAGAAATGGGATGGTCCGGAATATGAGGGCAAAGGTAATTTGGTTGAGAGTAATTGTGTTGTGATAATATGCATTATTTTTAGATGGAGAACAAGAGGCAAGATCAACTCAAACCCAAAGAACTCTATGCAGGAAGACTCCAATAAACTCTGGGAACTGGAAGGTAAGTTCTCATGGGAGACATGGCTAAAGCAGAAGGAATTCAGTAGAGTTGGCACTTCCTTAAAGAAATTGTGTTTAGGCTACAAACACAAACAGTCCTACACAGTAGGAGGATAGGAAGTATAGTCAGAGACCAACTTGGCTACTTGGCTAAGCAGCACAGTCTTCAGTGACCTGAAACACAAGAAGGAAATGTACAGAAAGTGGAAACCAGGTCAAACTCCTAAGGACTAGTATGAAGGAATAGCAGTAGATGCTGAAAACAAATCATAAAGGATAAAGCACAACTTTAACTGCAAAAAGCAATGGATATAAAGAGATAGTAAGAAAACAAATCTGAAAGGAAAAGAAAAACCTAGTGATAGTTCACTTGCAGAAGGCTGATGTACATTTTCCATCATTCTTCATAAAAGGGTGAACTGTAATTATATGACTAATAACTAAACTCAGCAAGAAAGAAACTATCTAAAATAGGAAAAGAACAGGACCAAAAATAATTTGAATATACTGGAGTTCACATCATCCTCAATTATACCACTACAGCATGTATCCAGGAGAGCTCTCTAGTTGTGGTTGATGTACTAAGTGTCCCTGGACTGATGCAGGAACCTACATCCCTGCACAAATACAGGAGAGGTGAAGTGAATGTTATACACACTGGCACCTGGGCCTGCGGAAGTGCATGTTAAGGTACCTTGGCAATGGAGAGAAGAAAGGTCAGATCTGTTTGCTTTGTCTGAAAACCCTCAGAAGTTGTGTGAGAAATGTGTGAAGTGGTGAACACAGTGCTACATTGCTTTATAAAGTCAAGAAATGAAGAAGGATCAATTCTGGAAAAAATACTAGAAAAAATGAAAATATAGATTATTTATAAAAGGTTGGAGATACTCAAGCTACATTGCTTTATATTTTTTGGCACATTGGCCATTAATTTCTGTAACATGGCAAGAAGTTTTACAAATACAGATGCAGTAGGTCACATAATATGTTTTAATTTTAATAATGGTATTGACATTATAGCATTGACTTCTAACATTTTCAAAAGTATATTGAAGTGAAACTGTTTCTAGAAGAGTGAAAAACTAGCTGGGTGTAGGTAACAAACAGGGAAAACAAATCCAAGCAAAAAACCCCAACACCAAAACCACAGACTAAGATTAGTTTTTCATCATTCACTATCTAACTCGAAAAATATAATAAGTAAGATTCTAGCTGGGTCCATTCTGGGCAGAGTAATGGTGCAGATCTTTAATGATTTGGATAAAGGAACAATCCTTCCACCTCATAGATAGCAGTAAGCCCATGTGAACAGTAAACTCATTGCATGATACATTAAACTCAGAATGCTTTTGACAAATAAGATAAATTATCTGTAGGAGAAAACACATTACAATGCAGTTACAAGTGTTAGGTTCTAAGGGGGAATAATAGTTCATAAAAATGTGGCAGCCACTCTGCCTTAAAAGGGATAAGAGGGGTACCAGTCAGTCACAAGTTGTTCACGAATAAGTAGCATTTCATCATATCAAGAATGCAAACTGCATATTAGGAAGAGAGGCTGCTTTGACTGTGTACTTGGTTGATACATTAAGGAATGCCTCCTATTATATTTCTGTCTAGCACTGCAACAAGTAGCACTGTGTCCTGTTCAAGCAAATCTGTTCCAAGAGAAGGCAAACCAGCTGGAAAGAGTCCAGAGCAAAGCAGAGAAAATGGTCAGTTGTCTTGGGAAAAAAAGAAAAGTCACAAGAAAGAGGGATTGAAAGAGTTTGAGTTACTCAGTTTAAAGAGCAGAATGACAACTAAACGCATGAGAACCATCATCTACAAAGGTATCTCTAGGGAGGTAAGGAGGAATTATATTTTTTTATCTGTAGTGGATAAAGTGATGGGTTCAAACGATGACATTGAAGATTATGCTAAATATTAAGAAAATCTTATTAACAGTAAGACAATTAGATAATTTTTCATTTCTTGATTCTCTTTTGGAGATTCAGAATGCACAAGATGAAGTCTTGAGGTCTTTTCCAGTTTCCTTTCCTTTAAGTCTGTGGTTCATCCTGTTGTATAATTTAGACACCCCATCTCTACAAAAACTACATTTATCAAAATTTTCATGCTAAATTATACAAACCCAGACTGTTATTTCAATATAGTGACTCCAAACCAATGCAGTCACTATGGGGCATAACACAGTCCAGACTGGCATGATGTCACTTTTTTTCTACTGTAAATCCCATTAGCTCTCATAAAAAATGTGAAGAGTTTTGGCAAAAGGACTGCTACCTTCCAGAAATGTATCTGGTATTTGATGCTTGTACACTGCTATTTCAACTGCCATAAATTTGTTCTTTCCTCAAGATTCAGATAAGAAGACTTCTAGAGAAGTCTTCTTATCTGCTGAAGCCTGCCCTTCTGGTAAGCTACTCCACCAACTGCTAACAAGACACAGAGCTCATTTGCCTCAGGGGCCACTTATTATGATCAGAGATGAAAGACACAGAACTGAGCGAAACGAGATGTGGGCAGAAAATATGGAGACACATCTTGTTAGAGGGCTGCAGAATCAGGTTGCTTCATCTAACAATTTTTTCATGTGCTCATTCTTTGTATTAATCAAAATTCCAGATCATGTGATTTTAATAAAGTATCCTCACTTGGCAGAAAAAATTAAATTCCTTTTGCCTGCCTTCCACCAAAGATCCAATTCTGCCAAAGTACAGACATTCTTGGCCGAAGAACCCTGTCATATAGATGAACAGCTGCCCTGGTTTAGGGCACATTTGGAAGGAAACTCAAAGAAAATCTCATAGAGGGATGTTGCATCATTACAGAAGTTCCAAGGACATGTGACTCCGTTGCCAACAAATACCATTGTTGGTCATTACCTGTATTGCCTCTGCAATTTGCTTATAGACACATGTTCAGGTGATTTTGTACAGAAAAAATTCTCCTTGAAGCAGTTTTAATCTTGCAGAAAAAGTACGTTTCTCACATTTTATAAACTATTGGAACCAGGAAAAATCAATTTGATACTCCTTCCTGGCCTTCTGAATGTCTATTGAACTCTGTATTTGTAAAATACACAAGATAATCTGTTTCTGTGAAACATACTTTTCAAATTCAGAGTAATATCCAGCATAGCATGAAATTCATGCTTACTCTATAATAACATACTGGAGGAGTCATACAACAAATATTTTTTCCATAAATTCATTAGCCTACAACTTTTCTCTGGGTAAACCTTTCAGATTTTGCTGAAGTAAATTTTTGGTGAGGACTAGGTATTTCACTTCAAATAAGGCTGAGAAGAAAAGAACAAATAAACGAAACCATTCATTTATACTATCAGAGTTTAAAAACTTTATAAATCAGGGGAAAACTTTACATCTAAAAGCAATGTCTGTCCCTCTGTCTAAGCAACTATGGCCACATCGATCTAAATCCACAAGGCAACATTAGTGACTGAGTCCCAAAGAATCTGCCAATAGCTGTGCTTCTGAGCCCATGTTCCATTGAAATTAAAATGTAATAAAAAGTTTAATAAACCTAATAAACAGAATCCCCAGGGCCAAGTTCCAGTACACAAAGCAATGGTTATCCTGAGAGAAAAATCCTGTTTCCTCAAAGATAAAAGATGTCATGATGGACATGAGATAGATTTTTTTAACCATGTGGAATTGTTTTATAATATCAGTGTTCCTATGAGGCTTCAAAGATGAGAGATGTTAAACTATGTTAATCAGTAGCAACGCCATTTAGAATTAAGTAATAAGTCAGATAAACTTCAGTTTTCTCACAACTTCTACTCTTCCAGAAAGAAAAGTAGCACTAGCAGCATTCAGATTTCAGATGAATAATGCAGCCTCAGAAAAGCAGTTCTGATTGAAACCTTGCAATGAAACTGTCTGGAAAGATCATAAATTTTTAAATTATTGACTCTCCACTGCATTCTCTTCCCCCTCAGATCCTGCTTTGGCATGAATGTTGTAATACAAATAATACATGGCTTTTAATGGCGCTCTTAAGAGTTATTTAAGAAACAGGCCATAGTACCATGTTGTGCAACCATAGCATGGGCTAACCATAGCATGTGCAACCATAGCATGTGGCTAACCATAGCATGTGCAACCATGGCATGTGGCTAGCCATAGCATGTGCAACCATAGCATGCGGCTAACCATGCCTATGTCCAGCAGTGAGTCAGGGCTCTCTCACCATGGGAGAGCAGAATGAGGAATGTCTACAGGAAGATGCAGAAGCCCTTTGTGCAGTCACAATTCGGTAGCACTGGTAGAGCTCTCCCTTGCTTTGTCCACGCAGGCATGACTAAATGTCTAAAGCATGTCTCTGTTACACATTTACATGCTTAGAAAATCTGCCAGTACTGTTCACTAGAATTTCTAACTAGTGACACACTCCTAGTATATGTGAAGCCCAAAGGGGAACAAACCCACAGGGTGATCCTTCATTTCAGTTTTATTTGCTTTAAATTTAGAACTATTAGAATATTTTAAAAGGCCGAAATTTAAAAAAAAAAAAAAAACAACAAAGCAGAGTGTGAAATAGAAGAAATAGAATAATCTCTTAATTTGTATTGTCAGTTTGCAACCTCTATTCAAATGCTACAAGAGCTGAATAAAAGGGCAATTTGCTGCTTCCAAAAAAATGTAGCAGAACCCATCCTACAAGTAAAAGTGCTCAGAGGTTTAGG